ATCAAATCAGATCTAAAAAAATTATTACTATTACTATTACTATTATTATGATTACTATTATTATTACTATTATTATTATGATTATAATTATTGTTACTATTGTTACTATTACTATTACTAATAATAATAATAATTGCATTATTATTATTATTATTATTATTATTATTTCAATTACTATTATTATTATAGTTATTATTATTATTATTACTATTATTATGATTATTACTATTACTATTATTATGATTATTACTATTATTATTATTATAATTGTTACTAGTATTATTACTATTATTATTATTTATATTATTATTATTTCTATTATTGTTGCTAGTATTATTATTATAGTTATTATTATTACTATTATAATAATAATAATTTATATTTAAATTTAAATTGAATTTATATTAGATCAATTCCAATCAGATCAGATAAGATCTAGCTAGATCAGATGATATCTTATCAGATCAGGCTAGATCAGAACTTCAAAAAATCAGATTAGATCAGATTAAAGTATATAGTCTTTATTTAATTATTTTGTAAATTTTTACATTATAAAATGTAGTCATGATATATTGACTCTAACAACAACGGAAACATCGGAAAGTCACTGATTGGAAACATGATAGAAGACAATGTAGCATTATAGAAAGAAATCTCGCCCTTCAAATAGATTTTGAAAATTTATTAAAATCATTTACCCCTTTCATCACATATGACATAAGGTATAACTTTTTGAATTAAAGCTAGGTACAATCATTATAAAACTCAGGTAAGATCTTATTAAAATCACTATTTACCCCTTTCTTCATCAATACTCCGTATGGCATTAATTAAGGTACTAGCTTTCTCCTAAATTATTTGTCGAGTATTAAAGTTTTGCAATTAAAATTGATAAACTTTAAAGGTTGATTAAATAAAATTAATATTAGATACTAATACAAAAATATTTTTATTTGATTTATCATGTAAAATATTATCAAAATATTATTTTGTCTATTTTGTATAATATAATTATAAATTAAAGATTAATTTTTATTGACTACAAAAAATTAAAATTAGATGCAAAAAGTATAAGTTCTTGAAGTTAGGGCTAGGTACAATCATTATATAAGACAATGCAAGAGTATAACCTATGAAGTTTAACTGTTTAAGGCACAATCACTTCAAGTTTTTTGAAGTTAAGGTACGTTAGGCACAATCATTATAATAAGACAAAGAGATTATAACTTTTGAAGTTTAAGGCACAATCACTATGAGAGCATGCATTCACATGGGGTGGAAAGAAAATTATGCACCAACATTTTGATGGTTCACACTAACACAAAGTGTTGGTGCATTAACAAAAATTTGCACTGACACAAAGTGTTGATGCATTAACAAAAATTAGCGTTACACCAACACAAAATGTTGATGCATTCCTGCAGTGTACAAAATTGGGTACAATTTAGCTTTATCCTAGAAAATTTCTCACCAATGTGTCTCTACATCCTATCTCTCTTCCACATCATCAAAATTAACTTGTAAATCTTAACTTTTTTGGAAAAATTGTCTCAAATAATTTCATCTTTTCGTGCTCTTTTAAAAATAATCCTACTTCTCACTGTCGCCGTAAATAATCTCACCTTTCCGCATGTGTACGAGTTTTGGATCGCTGTTTAAAAACTAAAGGTCACTTAACGGATTTTTTGCAAAATAACTGTTTTTTGCAAATAAATGAAAGGTGAGATTATTTTAGGTAAATTTTTTTTTAATTTTTAACTTTAAATTTATATCTACTTTTTATAAAAATTTTTGGAAAAATAATTCCAAATTTAAGTATTTTTTTAGAGTGAAACTAATTATTTTTTTCAATGGTTGATAATCTAATAATAATTAAAAAAATAAATTATTCTACACAATAGAGATAATTTATTTAGTTCATAACTCACTACATTTTTGTAAGTTGTAATTATTTTTTTTGAGCAGTACTTCGAATTTTTTTCGATACTACATTATTATTATTTCTTAAAAATGGCACTTTAAAACTTGTGAATATTTTTCGATAATTTTATATAAATATTTTAACAAAACAAAATTACAATAAATGTGAAAATAACACAACAATTTTTTCTCTGAAATGGAACTTTTATTTTTTATTACTCACTACATTTTCTGTTGTATTGCAATTTTTTCATCAACAACACTTCAAAATATTTATTGATAATCTTCTATTGCCTATATTTTTTTTTTTAAATCGAACTATCTAAACTTTTATTTTTTGATAATTCAGTACAAAGTTTTCCCAAATTAGTAATTCAAAAGTTGTGAAAATCACACAATATGTTGTTTCTCCGAAACGGCACAAATAAATTTTATATCTCACTACAATTTTTTTTGTATTGCAATTTCTTTCTTGATTGATACTCTGAATTATTTTTGATAATTCAATATTATATTTTCCCAGAACAGAAGACAAAATTTTTAAAGCATTAGACAAATCTCTAACAAAAGTAGACTGTTATATTTTTAAAAATATTAATTTTGAATTTAAAATTAAAAAAAGTAAAAAAGTAAATTTACCTAAAATAATCCTACCTATCATTTATTTGTGAAAAACAGTCATTTTGTAAAAACTTCATTAAGTGGCCATTAATTTTTTAACGGCGTCCCAAAACTCATATAAATGTGGAAAGGTGGGTTTTTTCGGCGACAGTGAAAATTGGGACTGTTTTTGGAAGAGCACGAAAAGATGGGATTACCATATTAGAATAAGCATTCATATTATAATGTAATAATATTTTTTATTTTATGGTATTTTTTTGAAATTACAATATTAATTTAATATTTTAATAATTACTTCATATATACATTAAAATAAATATTTAATTTATATATACATTAAAAAGTAATTAAATTTAGATAATCAATATATAGAAGAGATAGTATATTTATTAAAATATGTCATCCTTATAAAAGATCAAAACTTTAGAAACTCAAATTACAAATAGCAATAAAAATGTATTTTAAAAGTAGAATTAGATTGACATTGTCAATGTATTTTCAAAATAATTTTTTCGACGTCTAATAATTAAGGATTACTTTCTCAGTTTTCTATTTAACTTGGTTATAAAGTTTATTTTATTTCATTTTTTAGAATAATAATAATAATAATAATAATAATAATAATAATAATAATAATAATAATAATAATAATAATAATAATAATGACAATGATGATGATGATGATGATAATAATAATAATAATTCTTGATGGAATCTGATCTGATCTGATCTGATCTGATTTTAATAAGAATAAGAAAAAATAAGAAAAAATAAGTTGAACGGAACGGGGCCTACGAGTAGGGTATGGTAACCTCATCAACATTTAAATGTGAAATTTGTAAAAAATAGTATTAAAATATATCTTCGTTACCAATGTAGTAATTAAAATTTTTTATTTTCTAAATTGCACTTGAATAATGTCTAGTGATAGTGAACATTTAATTTGGACAATGTCCAATGACACTGACATTTACTTGAATAATGACCAGTGAAAATTGAACAGTGGTACCATATTAGAAAATAAAAACATATGCTACTACATTAGAAAAGTCGCTATGTTTTAGTACTATTAAGGTAAATATTCCCATTTAAAATACATTCAATTAATATTTATCGGGGAGTATATTCGAGAGGATTTGTTATGCCATATTGGCGGGTGTTCACAAAGGATCAATTGTACATGATAATGAAAAAATTTATAAATCATCTCAAAATTATAGGCCCTTAGGACCTAGCTTTTTTAGTTTTTGAAAAGTTTTATGTGAATATAAAGTAATGTGAAAAGTTTTAAAATCATCTCAAAATTACAGGCCCTTAGGAGTTAGGAGAATGTGACTCATATATATGTACAATAATATACTCCGTAGTATCTTTGCTCCCGAGAGTATGCATATACGTAGTACTACCTCCGTCTCAGAGTATTTGTCCACTTTCATTTTTACACACCATCCAATACACTTCTTTAATCCATTTTATCTTGTAATTTGTATATTAAAAAATTATAGAAATTATATATTAATGATCTATATATTAAGACAAATCAAACAAGATCACACATGACCATATTTAGGCTTACACATTGAGAGAATTTGATGAGTCAAAGTGCTTAGATGAACAGTTCCAAAAGTCAAAACTGGACGAATACTCCGGGACGGAGGAAGTAATTAATATACCATATACTCTATAACCTTTGTTTAATTATAAATCCAATGTAGAATATGATTGAGTACAAAAAAATAAGAGCTTAACAAATATTCAAAGACAAGACAGCATTTTATACCCGCTAAAAATTTTATGTTTCAAAACTACACTTAAAAATAAATTCATTGATATTATATTTATATTACTCCCTCTGTCCCCCAGTTTTTGTCCACTTTCATTTTTGCACACCATCTAATTCACTTCTTTAATTCATTTTATCTTGTAATTTGTATATTAAAAAAGTATAGAAATTATATATTAAAAATTTATATGTTAAGACAAATCAAACAAGATCACATATGACTATATTTAGGCTTACACATTGAGAAAATTTGATTAGTCAAAGTGCTTAGATGAACAGTTCCAAAAGTCAAAAGTGGACAAAAACTGGGGCGGAGGGAGTATAACATAGTAATATGTTTTTTGATGTTAAAGTTTACCATTAAGAAAAGTAGAATAGCATGAAAATCTTGAGAAGGGGGTACACTAAATACTACGGAGTATTTCATATTTTCTGAGTATTTTGTTTAGTTTTGAATTTTTACTGACAATTTTCAACTTTTAACTAAAAATTAAATAAAATATATACCGTATATTAGTTAAATAAAATAAGTTTTTGAAAGTATTTTACTCCATCCGTCTTAATTTATAGTGTCTGTTTCGGTTTACGATGTTTAACTGAAATTATTTTCAAATCATTTTATATGACAAATGGTATAGAGTTAAAAAATATAAAAATTACATATTAAATCACTATGTCAAAAGATCTAAAAAAAACTATTATTAACAATAGTATTTTATTTTATCAAATTGCTAACGAAAATAGAGAAAGAAAGTGAATGGAGTTTGAGCATGTGAATAGTGAACATGCATTATAATTTGGGACGGAAGAAGTATAAAATAAATTTATTAAAAATAATTTTTATTAATATCTAATATCACTTTTATTTAATTTATTTTCAAATTTACAACCTTAATCCAAAATTTTTTTGACTAAGGCCAGGAGAGGAAGTAGCCGGTGAATATAAATCCATCCGGGCTGTGGCGAGACCATTTCCACTTCTAAATCAAATCAATGGCCTCATCATCTTCTTCAATGAACACTCACGTTGATTCAGATTCAATTGAAGGAGAACGATCAGAAACCACCTTCCCCTTCTGGTACTCGCCGGAAACAGGGATATACACCAGCAAGCACCCTTCTGTTCAACTTCCGGCCGACCCTTTTCTTGACGTCGTCTCCTTCATCTTCTCCCACCCCCACTCGCCCTCCGCGGTTTCTCTCGTCGATTCCCAGTCTGGGTTCTCGATTTCCTACTCGGAGTTGCACTCGCTGGTCAAATCCGCCGCCGCCGGGCTCCACCGAATGGGCGTCACACAGGGGGACGTCGTCTTGCTCTTGCTCCCGAACTCCGTTTACTTCCCCGTTCTTGTTCTCGGAATTCTCAGTCTCGGAGCCGTTGTGGCCCCCATGAATCCCCTGAGCACTCCCTCGGAGATAAAGAAGCAAGCTTTTCAAGGTGGTCTTAATGTCCGGCTCGCGTTTTCCACTCCGGAAAGAATCGATGATTTGGTCGGGCTCGGTATTCCGGCGATCGGGTTGCCGGAAATCCCGAATCTTGATTCGTCGGAGATGAGCTCTCCGGCGTGCTCTGTTTTCCGAAACTTAATCAGCACCGATCCCAAAACGGCCCCGGTTCCAAGAATTAAGCAGCAAGACACGGCGGCGGTTCTGTTCTCGTCCGGGACGACCGGGGGCTGCAAGGGGGCGGTGCTGACGCACGCCAATTTCATAGCGACGGTGGAACTATTCGTCCGGTTCGAAGCTTCTCAGTACGACGGCGACGCTGCTGAGAATGTCTACCTGGACGTGATGCCGATGTTCCACGTGTACGGGCTCTCTCTGTTCGTGCTGGGGTTGTTCTCGCTGGGATCGACGGTGGTGGTGATGAGGAGGTACGACGGAGACGCGGCGGTGAGAGCCATTGAGAGGTACGGGGTCACCCATTTTCCGGTGGCACCGCCGTTGCTGATCGCATTGACGAGAAAAGCAAAGGCGGCGGCGGCGGACGGGAAGAACTCGATGATGAAGGGAGTGAGACAGGTATCGTGCGGGGCTGCTCCGACCAGCGCCGCATGCATTCAGGACTTCGTCCAAACCTTTCCTCACATCGACTTCATCCAGGGTTACGGGATGACGGAGACGGCGGCGGTCGGAACACGGGGTTATAACGCCGGGAAATTCCGAAAGTATGGTTCGGTGGGACTATTGGCCCCAAATATGGAAGCCAAAGTGGTTGATTGGACTACGGGTTTACCCCAACCCCCTCATTCCATGGGTGAGCTTTGGCTAAGAGGTCCTTCTATCATGAAAGGTACTCCTTTCATACTACTCTTGTCCTATTTTTATTTTTTTTTATCATTTTCAACATGATGTTCATTATTCTGATTTTAGGTGATATTCACTTTGAAACATTTTTTAATATAAATTTGTCATGATGTATTAATAGAAATGAAAAGGTACATCTTTTTTGTCAAATAAGTGTAATACTCCTTTCGTCCCTAAAAACATGGAATATTTTGATTTTTAAGAGATTTAAAGAGTGTATTTTAGTGTTAAATTTCCAAAATATTCTTGAATGTAATGGATAAAATTAGAATTTGATAGATAAATTAATAGTGAATAGATCTGGTGTGATAGATAAGTTAAGAGTTAATAGGATTAAAAATGACTTTTCAATAGAAATGAAAAAAGTTTTTTGGGACGAATGAAAAAAGCGAAGGATTTTCAGGAATGGAGGGAGTATAATTTAAAGGAAGTGAGCGGAGTTAATTATTTACAGAGTAATTTTTTCCCCTCAACTCCTATGAGGGAAAATCCGATTTTCTTTTCGAATAAATATCCATCTTTTTGGTCAAATAAGAGCCTATTCTTTTAGGATTTGAACTTTTAACTTTCAGTTTCTTCCAATTCTTTTGGTTCTTTTAGTTTATTTTCGTTCCTTCCAGTCCTTCTAGTTTCTTTCAACTATTCTCATTTTTTTCAAATTCTTTCTGCTCTCCAACCAATTACTCTAAAAATGATATATTTTTAATGTGATTTTATTATTATTATTATTATTATGTTCATAACTATAGTTTATAAATTATTCTTTTCATCTCACTATTTTTACGATTCGCACTCATTATTTTTTCTTCAACTTTTAAATATGAATAAGACAACTTTTTGTATATTAATCTACATGATAAAACACAAAAACATCAATTTGTTAAACTACATTAAAAAATTATGGATAAAACAGTGACATAGAATATTTTATTAATCTAACTTTATATAAGACCTTTCACATTTCCTTTTATTACTTAAAATTTTCTTATTTTTCTAATTTTAATTAAAAAAATTGTAAGTCAAAATAGTTTAGAGAAAAAGACTAAAATAGGAGTAAAACATAAAAAATGTAAAAAAAAGTTCTATGTCTTTATTCCAAAAGTAGGACTTCAATAAAAATAAAATGTCAATCATGAAAGAAATAGGTTTGATTACATTATGTGACATGTCTGATATTTAAAACAAAATCTTGTAATGTATAAAGTATAATTATGAATATATTATTTATAATAAATACTGCATAAATAAATTTAGGTGCAACGTAACCACAAAAAAATTTTAAAATTTAATTTTTTTTATATTTATGCTAACTTTATATTATAATTATTTTTCTTCAAATGTAGTTTTTTGTATTTGAAAAATAACAATACTTTTTTGTATCTTAAAGGCATTCATTAAGATAACGTGATGATGATGAATATGATGATGATAATAATAAGGGAGAAAGACCAAAGTTGAACAAAAAAATTGAAAATATACCAAAATAGAAGTTTCATGTTTTTATTCACGAAACAGGTCTTACATTACAAACATGGTCATGTACATTACCAAAAAAGTATATTAATGTGTATGTGTACAGTGTCACATTACCACTCACAGTGCAAAGTCCTGTTTCAGAAAAAAATATTAAAGCCTTATTTTGGTACTTTGCTCTACGTTTTAGTCTTATTTAGGGTGATTTATATAATAATAATAATAATAATAATAATAATAATAATAATAATAATAATAACAATATAATAATAATAATAATAATAATAATAATAATAATTTATAACAACAAGAATTTAAAATAATTTTTAAAAGCTTTTTTAGGTTTTTCAATTTTTTGAAGTTTTTCCAGTTTCTTCCAGGTTTTTCCAGTTTTTTCCACTTTTTTCCAGTTTCTTCCCGTTCCTTCCAGTTTCTTCCAGTTCTTCCAGTTCCATCCAGTTTTTTTTAGTTCCCGTTACTTCTAGTTTTTTTTCAGTTTTTTCTAACCCCATAGTTTCCTTGTTCTTGGTCAATTTGTCAAAGAGAAAAGGAATACTCTATTTTTTTTCAAAGACCAAATCTCATGGGGTTATTGACTTATTTGGATTTCACGTCCTTCCCTAATTTTGCTTGTCCCCGTGAAAGCACAAAAATTACTCTTCACTTTTTTTACAACTCATTTCGTCTCATAAAAAACTTCACTCTTTGTTTTTATTTATGAAAACAAATTCAATTTATTTTTGAAGAAATAAATAAATAACTCAATTTTAACTCTTCACTCTCCTCCAAACGAATTTACCTATATAGTACTAAAACATAATGAATTTTTTAATATACTAATATATATTTTAATTTTCAATGATGTAGTACCACTGTTTAATTAATTTTCACTGGAGATTGTTTGAGTAAATGTCTACCGACACTAGACATTGTTCCCGACACTTACTGGGCAGTGTTCAAGTACTATTTATGAAATAAAAAGTTTTAGGTATTTATGAAAAAATTCATACTCCCTTCGTCCTAAAAACATGGGAGGTTTTGTTTTTAAGAAAATTTAAGGAAAGTGTATTTTTGTGTTGAGTTTCCAAAAATGTCCTTGGATGTGATGTGTAAAAATAGGATTTGATATTTAGATTAATAGTTAATACATGTGATGTGATAGGTACGTTAAGAATTAACAGGGACAAAAGTAATTTTTCAACAAAAATAAGAAAAGTTTTTTGGGATAGATGAAAAAAATGTGAAAGATTTTCAAAAACGGGGGAGTATCTTTTAGTCTTATATTTAGTGCAAATTTCACTTTTTAATCTAGGAGAAAGTTAAACATGGATTTTTTTCAAGAGGGATTGAATAGCTAGAGTGAGAGGTTGGTTAATGTGTTCTAGGGTACTTGAATAATATTGAGGCGTCCAAGAACACAATAGATTCTGGAGGGTGGTTGCACACCGGAGACATTGTTTATTTTGACGGAGACGGATACCTCTTTGTGCAAGACCGGTTAAAAGAGATCATTAAATACAAAGGCTTCCAGGTACATGCATGCATGCAATTCAAATTTTGTCACCCTTTGCTTGTCTCATAATAAATTTCGAGTTTGATATTATGATGTTTGATCGAAATTATAGTAACGATCAATTTATATAAAGCTTGGCGTAGAATTAAAAAACAAAACTTATATATTTTACATCTGTTTACTTAACCTGCACGGTTTGTACTTTGTAATAGCTCCGATTACCATTAATAACAAACCGGGTTACAAGTGTTTCCACCTACAACCCTTCCGATTACTTATATTTAGTATTTGCGTGGTAATTTACACCATCAAATTGGCGCCGACCGTGGGACCTATTACAAAAAGTCATGGCAGGCAACCAAAAAACCGTCATTTCACAAATCTCTACTCCCACTGAGAACGTCACCTCGTTCCAGGAGGGAGTACCCAACCATCAACTCAGATTCCTACCCCCATCATCACTATTCCACCACCTACCCTGTTCACCTCCCTTGTTACCTCTGTCCCCATATTCCCTCCAAATTTCCCCGGGCCTATGGACCCGATTTACTCCCAGGCGTTCCAAAATTTTGGGCAGTTCATGTCCATGTTTCAACAACCGGGGTGATTTTCTCCCTTCATTCATGGGCTGTACCCACAGTCTTTGCCCCAAACTAATATCATCCGCCCGGTCGTCCCAACAAATCTGATCAGGGAAATGGACAAGGTTGGTCCGTCCTGGTCCAGAAGAAGCCGGTCCCAGAGATCGCACACCCAGGTCACACCAGATGGCAATGTACGATCAATCCACAGCAAGGATGAGGACTGGGATGTACCCCATGCCCAAAAGAAGCTGAAAGGAAAGGCAGTCCAGCTTGAAGGATCCAGGAGATCAGCATTTCAAAGGCTGGGACATGATGGCAGGAATCAGAACCGGCTGGCCAAAGAACGACTAGGAGTGGAGACTACCCCAGTGAGTGCCTTTGACCGACTGGGAAGAGGGGCCGGGCGACCTGGTCGGACCAGGCGCACGCCCTCGCGATGAACCACAGCACAGCCGGGCGCCCCAGGTAGAAGAAGAAGCGGAAAGCCATCCTAGGCACATGGTCCGCACTCACATAGAGCAACCCAGGGACCGTGTGGGCCGGGTTGAAGCACGTTTGGAGAAGTTGCTACGATGGGTTGATCGGGACGAGAAGAAGAAAATCTTGCTGAATGAATCTCCGTTGACTGACCAGGTTCATGAGACCCCGTTTCCAAAGAAGGCGAAGCTTGAGGTCCCGAAATTCACCGAGAAGGAGGACCCGGAAATACACGTCAAAACCCTCCACCAAAGCGGGAGGATGATGGGCCTTTCCGGGGATGAAAAATGTTTGCTCTTCTTCCAAACCCTCCGCGGCCGGGCCGCTGAGTGGTTTCATAACCTCCCGGCCGGCGAGATCGATTCTTTCGATGAACTGGCCGAGGTGTTCCAGGAGAAGTTCAAAGAGAATTGTACCAAGAGGAAGAAATTCACCCACTTGAGTACGGCCGGGCAAAGGGAACACGAAGATCTGACCAAGTTCCTTACCCGGTGGAAGGATGAGGTGGACAAAGTAGAGGAAATGGACAACAAAACCGCAATGTCCCTGCTGGTCTCCGGGCTATGTTCTTGAGAATTGTATAAAGAATTCTGCTGGAGACCTCCCAGTCATACCAGGAGGCCTACAACACGGCCTGGGATTATGCTGACGTCGAAGCGCATGTGTCATCCAAAAGGGAGGCCGAGCAAGGCCATTCCAAAGGAAAGATTTCCTTGAAAAAGGAAATTTAACTGCCCGGCAGGGTAAAAACAGAAGTCTTGGAAGTGAAGCTGGCAAAGTTGGAAAAGAAACAAGCCGGGGAGAAGCAATGGACCGAAAAGTATTGCTCTTTCCACAAAAGGACTCCCATAACACTGCTAAGTGCAATAGTGTTAAGGGGGTAATCAAGCAAATGATCGAGGCTGGAGAGCTTGATCCAGAATATCTGGCTCATGCAAAGCAAAAGAAAAACCAATGGGTTCGGCAAGAAAGACAACCGGCCGAGCAGAATAAGAAGAAGAAAGCCGCTGGCAAGGAGCACTTGCAGGTCATCTATAGTGGACCGGAAGGTGGAGATTCTGCTTCTCAAAGAAAGAAGTGGGGACGGGAACTCTACGTTGGCACTGTTGCCCTAGCTCCCCGGCCAAAGCAAACTAGAAGGGAGCCGATCACTTTCACAGATCGGGACATTCCCGCCACCGGCGAAGATCACAATGACCCCTTGGTCATAACCATGGATATGGGTGGAGTCGATGTCTCCCGGGTACTTGTTGACATGGGCAGTAGTGTCAATGTTTTGTAATTAGAGGCATTTGAGAAACTCAAGTTGTGTCGAACACGGCTTGAGCCTTTGAAGACTCCCCTGTCCGGGTTCACTGGGGATTCTGTTGAAGCAGAAGGATCAATCCTCCTAACTTGCGAATTGGGCACGAGAGACAAGGTGATCCAAAAGCAGATGAGGTTCGTGGTAGTGAACACCAAATGTGTTCACAACGCCATTCTAGGCGCGGCCTGGAATAAATAAAGTCCGTGGAATCATCTCCATGGCCCATCTCTACATGAAGTTCTATACCCCGGGCGGTATAGGACATGTCAAGGGAGATCAGAAGAAGGCCCGACCTTGTTATCTTGAAGCTGTGAAAAAGATGACAAAGGCGTTCGAAAGGGTTACCCTGGTTTCACGGGAGGAAGACCAGTCGAAGTTGGAACCGGGTGACGAGACCGAGCAGATTGTTCTCCGGGAAGCATTTCCAGAAAGAATGGTGAAGATAGGCCGGGACCTGCCTGGAGGACTTCGAGAGGAAGTCATCTCAGTCCTCCGGGAGTTCGCTGACATATTCGCTTGGAGTGTGGCGGATATGTCGGGCATCGACCGGTCCATTATCTGCCACCGGTTGGCTGTAATCGAAGGTAGCCGGCCAATGAAATAAAAGAAGAGACACTTGGCAAATGTCCGAAGGGACTTTGTCAAGAAAGAAGTGAAGGATTTGCTGGCGGTCGGGCACATAAGAGAAGTCCAGTACCTGGCTTGGCTGGAAAATGTCGTCCTAGCACTAAAGGGTGACACGTGGCGCATGTGCATAGACTACACGGATCTGAACAAGGCCTGCCCCATGGATTCATACCTGCTGCCCAGTCCCGACCAAATGGTCGATGAGACGGCCCGGTGTGAGTTGCTGAGCTTCATGGATGCTTTCAAAGGCTACTATCAGATCTTCATGAGAAAGGAAGATGAGGAGAAAACTTCCTTCTTAACCCCTGAAGGCACATATTGCTACTGGGTGATGGCTTTTGGACTTAAGAATTCAGGCGCTACTTATCAGAGGATGGTAAACCGGATTTTCAAGCCACTCCTCGGTAATTCCATAGAAGCCTACGCAGATGACATGCTGATCAAGAGCCCGGGAGCAATGAACCACCCGGCTCACATGAGGCTGTGCTTTGAGATCATGGCTAAGTACAACTTGCGCCTCAACCCCAAGAAATGCGTCTTTGTTGTAAAGACCGGCAAGTTCTTGGGGTTCATGGTAACCAAGCGAGGTATTGAGCCTAATCCCGAGAAGATTAAAGCCATAACCGAGATGAGGTCGCCCGGTTCACTGAAGGACGTGCAGCGACTCACTAGGCGATTAGCAGCTTTGAGCCGTTTCCTTTCCAAGTCAGCGGAAAGAGCCTTGCCCTTCTTAAAAGTCTTGAGGAAGGCCAACGCATTTGAATGTGACCGGGAATGTGAAAAAGCTTTCCAGCAGCTGAAAGAGTACTTAGTTTCAGATATAGTTTTGTCCAAACCCAAACCAGGTGAGACTTTGTACTTGTATTTGAGTATATCCCAAAACTCTATAAGCTCTGTTTTGATAAGAAATGAAGACGGCCAGAGGCCTATTTACTACGTGAGCAAAGCACTTAATGGGGCAGAAAGCGAGTATACTGCCATTGAAAAAACAGTGTATGCACTTTTCATAACGGCCAAAAAACTGACCGCGTACTTCCAAGCTCACGATGTGGAAGTACTGACCGATTAGCCACTTGGGCCGGTCCTTCGAAATTCAACTTCTTCGGGACGGATGATCAAGTGGGCGATGATGCTCACTTAGTTCAAGATCGAGTATAAACCTAGAACCGCGATCAAGCTAAGGGTCAAGCATTGGCCGACTTCCTTGTCGAACTAACTGGTCTGGAGCCTAAAGTCAGAGCTTTCCATACGGTCGAACCGTGGTGGGACATGGCCGTTGATGGGGCCTCTGACCGAAGGGATGCGGAGCTCGCATAGTCTTCACTACTCCAGAAGGGTTCAAAATCTACCATGCCTTGGTTTTTAACTTCAAGCTTACCAACAATGAGGCGGAGTATGAGGCACTAGCCGTTGGCCTTAGATTGGCCCGGACACTTGGGATAAAGAGGATGAAGATCTGTTCTGATTCAAGTTTGGTCGTCGGCCAGGTCAATGGCGAGATAGAGGTCAAAGAAGAGCGTCTAGCCCGGTACAGTGACCTGGTCCAAGCACTTCTAAGGGAGTTAGAAGAGTTTCGTCTGACTAGGATACCCGAGTCAGAAAACACTGATGCTGATATGCTTTCAAAATTAATGCAAGCTTGCCCAGAGCATGTCTCAACGTTGGCCAAAATCGAGATATTGGACCAACCTAGCGCTGACCGGTTTGAAGTCACAACCATTCAGCAGAGTCAGAGCTCAGCTACTGGGGTAATCGAAGTGGACGATGATTGGAGATACGATCTCATGGAGTATTTAATGACCGGCTAAAAACCAGACGACGAAGAACGAGCCAGGAAGGTGGTCTTACGGGCACCCCGGTTCCAAGTACTAGACGGTCACTTATACAAACGTGTCATTAGAGGTCCTCTACTGCGTTGTCTCACCAACCTAGAACCAGAATGGGTGATAGCCGAGGTACATGAGGGGGTTTGTGCGGCACATCAAATGTCCCGTACGTTGGCTCAAAGGATAATACTGCTCGGC